ATTTTAGAAGACAGAGTATACTGAAAAGTATATTTATTCAAAGCAGCATTTGAATAGTTGTGGACTGAGTAGGTTAGGACAAATGGAAGAAGTTTTTCTAAGCTCTTTTGGGTTACATACCCGAAAGAGCATCTTTGTGGAAAAGATAACTGTGGAGCAGAGTTACAAAAGAAGGAAATGTTTTTTCATAAAGTTTAATAACTGAAGAAAATGAATATTTACATAACAAATGCACTGAATAGTGATCAAGGTACTGTATTAAAATTAGAGGCAATTTTACAATATGTGTTCTATTGCAACAGAAAAAATGAATAAATTAATTATATTAATTTTTGTTCAAAAAAGGTTTATATATAAACATGTGCATTTACAAATATATCACATCATAAAAACCATGGAGGAATATAATGGAATAATTTGACCAATCAATAAGTAAGTAATTTAATTTATATTATTTGTTAACCAATTATATTATTTACTCTGTTTTACAGTGTTATCACATTATGTTGATAATTAGATCTATCATTCTTCGGGTTAAAATATATTTACTAATTGCTTATGATAGGCTATAATCAGATATATGTTAGCTTATAACATACGTTTTAATATGTCCTGATATTAGTAATGAATTGTGATTTTAGTCTTCTAAGCTTCACTTTTGCTTTTTCATGAGATTAAGCTCACCCATTTTTGTGTTTAGGAGATAGAGTCAATGAATGCATACATTACTCAAAACTATGTACTTTCTACATCTCTCAACACAAATGAAATGATATTTTGTATAAACTAAGTACAAAGTGAGAATGATTTACTTATTTACCATCTCTCAAAAATGTGGTCCATTTTGTCCATATTTCTTAATGGCCACTGTGTTTTAAAAATAAAAGAATAAATAATTTTTACATGGCATCAACAAGATCTTAAAAATGAAAAAAATGGATGGATTGTAAAGGACATTTCAGAACTGTACTGATGATTATGATGTTGAACATTATGACTCATGTCTTTCATATACGTAAAAGAAGATTTAAAAGGAAAACAAGAGAGAAATGAACAACCACAGTGTGATCACAGAGTTTGTCCTCTTGGGCCTTTCTGATGATCCTGACCTTCAGATTGTGATTTCCCTCTTTCTGTTTGTCACATATATTTTAAGCATCACTGGAAACATGACTATCATCACCCTAACCTTGGTGGACTCCCATCTGCAGACCCCAATGTATTTCTTCCTCCGGAACTTCTCCTTCTTAGAAATCTCCTTTACGACAGTATGCATCCCGAGATTTCTGGGGGCAATTATCACCAGGGATAAGACCATTTCCTACAACAGCTGTGCAGCTCAGCTCTTTTTCTTTATATTTTCGGGAGTGACTGAATTTTACCTTCTCACAGCCATGTCCTATGACTGCTATGTGGCCATCTGCAAGCCCCTGCATTACCCAACCATCATGAATAGGAAGCTCTGCACCTTGCTCGTATTATGTGCTTGGCTGGGGGGGTTTCTGACTGTTTTCCCTCCCCTTATGCTTCTCCTCCAGATGAATTACTGTGCTTCCAATGTTATTGACCACTTTGCATGTGACTACTTTCCACTCTTACAACTATCTTGCTCAGACACATGGCTCCTCGAAGTAATTGGCTTTTACTTTGCTGTGGTTACTTTGCTGTTCACCTTGACATTAATGGCTTTGTCCTACATGTCCATCATCAGGACTATTCTGAGAATCCCTTCTGCCAGTCAAAGGAAGAAAGCTTTCTCCACTTGTTCCTCTCACATGATTGTCATTTCCATCTCTTATGGGAGCTGCATCTTCATGTATGCCAACCCTTCAGCAAAAGAAAAGGCATCAATAACCAAAGGAGTGGCGATTCTTAATACTTCTGTGGCACCCATGCTCAACCCCTTCATTTACTCCCTGAGGAACCAGCAAGTAAAACAAGCCTTCAAAGACTTGCTGCATAAAGCATTGTTTTCTGCAAATAAATGAAATAGATTTTCTTTGTTTTCTAAGCAAAAATGCAGTGACATGGGGTTGTCCTGAATTGGAAACATCAATGAGATTGTTTCTTTGTGTTGGTGTGAAGAACAATTAAATAAAAATTTGAAATGTCTAAGTATTTCAGGTACGCTTGCTCCCGTAGAGTCTTTTCACCTGTCACAAAATTCAATTAGATATTTTCCAAGGCTCTTTCTTCCATGTCTGTGACTGAGTTTCTCTAAAGCAGTATCAAAATATATAATGAAGTTAATTTTTCCGACATTTTCTAACAATCATACGCTTTTCTTAACAACAAATACTATATTAAATTAGAGTGTTTACTGTTTTATTAAAAGAGACCTTGCACTTGTCTGCTCTGGCTGCGCTGCTGCCAACAGTGAGCTGCGCAGTGGCGCCTGCCGCTACGGTCCAGAGTCCTGAGTTACGGTAGTTTGGGGGGGCCTTATTTTCTGGGAAGTCTTATTTTCAGGGGGATGTCTTACCTACAGGGAAACAGGGTAGTTGTTTTCCTTTTGCATTCGTGCCCGTCTAATAAAAGAGGAGACAAATTAGAAAATTGATAATGGCAAGCAGTGTCATAACTTTTACATCTCTGAATAGTATATTGTGCAGACATGAAGATATCCAAGTTTTAAATTATAACAAGCTTGTCCATATCACTAAGAAGTTTTTAAAACTTAATATCCCATTCAGAAAGATAGACTACGTCCTAGGATTAGAACGGATGCTAGGCATCTAGAGACAGGAGATACAGCACAAATGTGTTGTTGTTGTTGCTGTGGGGTGTCACTGAGTAGGCTCCAACCCACAGCGACCCACACACAACAGAACAGTGCCCGCTCCTGTGCCACCCTGCCAATTGTTCCCATGTTTAAGTCCATTGATGCAACTTTGTCAGTCAATCGTGTTGAAGGTCTTCCTCTTTCTCCATTCTGCTACTTTACCTAGAGCATGATGTCCTCCTCCAGGGACTGGTCTCTCTGGACAAAGTCCAAACTACGTGAGAGAAGTCTCACCATCCTTTCCTCTAAGCAACATTCTGGATGTAATTCTTCAAGGACAGATTTGTTTGTTCTTTTGGAAACCCATGGTACTTTAAATAGTCTTCTCAGAAAAAATAATAGATCGAAAACCCTCTAATAACATTTTGTCAATACTTAAAAATATTAAGAATATTACAAGAAATATTTTTCCAGAACCCTAAGATATCCGTGATGTCCTCAGGTAGTGTATTGTTAGTCCTGGACTGTACACAGCTGTTAGGTGAATGAATAGGGGTTTGATTATACCAAAAGGTACTTCAGAAGAAATTCCTAGTGATTTATTTTTGAAAAATCAGCCATTGAAATCCCTGTGAAACATACCGTATATACTCGTGTATGAGCTGAGTTTTTCAGCACATTTGTAATGCAATTTTTGTGGCAAAATTAGGTGCCTCAGCTGATATTCGGGTCGGCTTCTCCTCGAGTATGTATAGTAGTTGTACTCTGATGTATACAGTGCCACCACTCACAAAGCAACTGGTTTTGCCCTTTTTAAATGACATATGGAGTGCACTGATCATCAATTGTTGAACTCAATTTGTTAAAATTCATGTTTTAACACTGAAAAGTTTGGGAACTGAATATAAAATTTCCCATAAGAAATAATGGAAGACCAAATAATTGATTCTGCACCCCTAAATTCATTTTCTCCAGAACTTTAATACAATATTATCAGTCCCAGGTTGTGGAAATACCCCCATGAACCATCTAAATAAATAAATACAGTAGGTTAAAAATTAAAACACAACACAGTAAATAAAATCAACTCATTTTTCATCATGTTCTGCTCTTTACCACCCAGGGGTGTTTGGATGGGTACACCAACATGAGCTTTGCTTTAAAATCCCCACAAGCATTCCCGTGCAACACAGTGAGCTTATCTTTTATAGGTTTGTGGCCTGGCAATGCCTTTTCCTGTTTAGTAATGAAGGTCCTATTGGGCATTATTTTCCCCAAAGTCTGGTTTCATTGAAGTTGCAGACTTGCTGATGAATGAAACCCTCAGGCTCCAAATATTGAGCAAATTCAGCCACTCATTTATCGGATTCATCTCCCCATGCCTCCCTACACTGCGTATGCCTGTTCTCTTTTTGGATTTTTCAGTATATGTCCTGCCGAAGTGAGCATGTTTTTTGAATTTTTCCAACCAGCCATGACAGGCTTTGACCACTTTGGGTTGCTCAGCTCTCCTTCTCTGGCCATTTTTCATTAAACCACTGTGGAAGCTTTTAGCCTCTTTACTTATCACAGTCTCAGATATGCTATCACTAAAATATGAGTTTAGTGGATCATATAGTATCTTTATTGCTAGCTTTTTGAGAACACACTGTACCATTTTCATAGCAGTTGTATTATATTACTATACTGTTAGCTGTGCATAAATGTTCTTCAGCAAAGACTCAAGAAACAATGTAAAACAGATACAGATGACAATCCTGTTCTTTGGTTTAATTCTTCCCTGGTGTTGCAGTGGGGTGTGCACTGGGCTGCTAACCACAAGGGTCACAGTTTGAGACCACTGGTGGCTCAACAAGAGGAGGAGGCTCTTTACTCCTATAAAGATGTAAAGACTCAGAACCCCACAAGAGCAGTGCTATTCTGACCGACAGGGTCATGATGAGTCGGAATCCTCTCAGTGTACTTGAGATTGTATTTCATTGTTTTCTTTGATTAATGTAATTTTTACAGTCATTTTTTCATCTTTATACCATATATTATCTCCAACACAGGTGATACAACTTTGCTTGCTGACAGCCAAGAGGAATTGAGGCACTTATTCATATAGATCAATGAGTACAGCCTACAGAAAATGTACAATTCAGCCTAAAAAAGAGAGAGAGAATCCTCTTAACTACCCCAATTGATAAAACATCATGGTTTGTCTAGAGCAGCGGTTCTCAACCTGTTGGTCCCGACCCCTTGGGGGCCGAAAGACCCTTTCAAAGGGGTGGCCTAAGACAATCGGAAGACACATATTTCTGATGGTCTTAGTGAACCAAGACACCGGTCCTCTATCAGTCTGCAGGCCGGTCCACCCACATGCAGATACTCCCACAGATGCGTACCCACTTGGAAGACTGTTACCCATGCTACACCATGCTTCAAGACAAAATTTCATTTATTTGTAATTAGAAATAAATATTTCACAATATATATGTATATATTGTTTTGGGATTAATCACTATACTTTAATTATGTTCAATTTGTAACAATGAAAGTACATCCTGCATATCAGATATTTACATTATGATTCATAACAGTAGCAAAGTTACATTTATGAAGTAGCAACAAAAAATAACTATATGGTTGTGGTCACCATGACATGAAGAACTGTATTCAAGGGTTGTGGCATTAGGAAGATTGAGAACCACTGGTCTAGAATATGCCAAATATATACTGCTCAGTGTTTATGTAGGAGTGTTATGGAAATGAGATATTGAAGTCTACCACTATTATATTGTTGAACTGTTAGGTTTGCATTTGCTTCTAATTATTTGTTCTTCCCAACAGATTGATGCTTTCCTATTTTTAAAATGTTCCTGGTGTCTGATAACACTATTATATTGAAACTTTAATATATAAGATACTAGTATTGCTAAATCAGCTCCCTTTGGTCTGCTTGCACAGTCTTTTGTTTTTTCCCTCTGGGGTAGAGCAACCATAACAAATTATTATTTTCTCTAAACTCTGGAGGGCCGAGGCTCAAATTAAAGGTGTTGGTAAGATGATGGTTTGGGTTCTAGAAGATCCTTCATTCTCCTCCAGCATTTCATAGTCCATGACATTTATTGGCATGCTGTGACTGCTTATAAATATTTTGACCTCCATCTTCACATTGCATGTCTTGCCTGTGTGGTTTTCTCAATATCCTTGCACATTCTTTCCTGTTGTAATAGACCACACTGAAGGTACTAGAAAGGTACTAGAAGATACTCTTAACCTGATATGGCGTTATTGATGTATATTCTAAGAACAACACTATTTCCCCAAACAAGCTCACGTTGACAGATTTAGGTGCCAATATTTTAACATACTGCCTTCAAGGATACTTTCAATACATAGCATGGCATATCTTTTACTGCCTTTTATTTTCAACCCTTTTGTGCCCTTAAATTTTAAGTGTGTCTAAGGTAGACACCAGTCTATAATATACAGAGAAAGTTTTTAAAATTGTTAAAGATTGTAAACATTTATTAGACACAGATATCAAAATGTGGTGCTTTTCTTTCTTATTATATCCTCCATGTAGGCCAATACACTGCTGAAATCAGTATTTCCTTCTCTTTAACCCTCCCCTCTCCTCGTCAATACACATCAAATCAAGAAGGCAGTTTTGATGTCCTCTAGGAACTCAAATTGGGTTAGTTTTAAATGTTCTTTGAGTTTGGGGAAGAAAACTAAGTCAGAAGGGGCAAGATCATAACCGTTGGCTGCATGGGATAACGTTTCCCACCAAAACTGTTAGGACAGCCTTTCTCCCCCTCTAAGAACGAGAAAGTGCCTTGTCATGATGAAGAATATTTCTTGGACCAATTTTCCTTGCCTTTTCCTCAGCACTACAGTTTTCAGTTTGCTTAAAACTTCTTCCAAATAAGCCCCAATGATAGTCCTGTATCCTTTTAAAAAAGTTACCAGTATTACCTCTTTGAGATCCAAACAAGTCACCACTAGCTCCTGAATCACGCTGACTTCTCTACCTTGAATAAGAGTAGCAAAGCAAATACCCCTGGAGAAGATTCGGCCTTATTTTCATCATCATATTGCGAAATCCATGACTTGTTTCTATTTAAAATTCTTTCCATATAATTGTCTACATTACCTTTGATCCTGTTTAAAACACTGAAAAAAAGATGAGTTCTTTGAGCCAACTGGCCTTCACAAAACACTTTTTAATATCCTTTTTCAAGGAACCCTGCTGGGTCTAAAACAAATATATGCCTGAGATAACTTGTCTGCAACTCTTCGCTGATGTCTTAGCCATGTTTAAACACTGTTGCTTGTGTAAAACCAAGCATGTAGGAGGCAGAATCCTGATAGCATTGCTTTTTTATTTGCCCTCATATTTGACTCATGTTTTATTTTATTTATTTTTAATTTTTTAATTTTTCCTACCTCTGCCTTTCAACTAGGTTGTTTCAATGTTATATTTCATTTAACACAGATAAGACCTCTGTCTTCCTTCTCAAAATGGGTGTCTATTAGTCTTTTTTCCTCTCTTTTAGTCAATCTCTTCCTACGATCCCAGATTAGCTGTTACAAATCAATGCCTTCTCGTGGATTTTTAAACTTACTTTTACATCTTTTACAATGCATATTTTATATTATTTTCTTAGAAAAACCTGTGAAAATAATATCACATTAACTTAAAAACAAAAAGGCTAATTCAGATGAATAATAGTTCCTTTTTATAATATTCACTATTTCTCTGTCCCACTTACTGTTTGCAAAAATATTGGCATGCATTTTTTAAAATGTTAAAAGCAAAGAGTTTCTTGTCTCCCTTTGTTGGTAAGGATTGTGTGCCTCAAAGCACACTACAAAGAAATTAAAAATACAACAAAAAGTCCGGTATCTGAAAGGCTCTATTCTTTTTAAAGACCTTATGGAGGGAATAAAGGTGGGGCTCGTGGCTTGTAATACATCACATAACCTCACATCCTTGTCTCTGTCAAAGAAAAGAAGATTACCCAAGATCTGTGTATCATGTACACAGATATTATATATATATGTGCATATGTAAATATAAAATGAATTTGAACACACATCTAAACTTAAGTGATTTCAATTCAAGGCCACATACATAACTGCATCATCAAATCATTAATGAATTCTTCACTTTTATGTCTCTGAAGGGAAAATATATACAACATGAGACCTCATGTATTTTATAGGTAATTTTAATTTTATCTGACAGTAAGTTAATAAAGCTTATCCTTTGAAATGGCATTAATTATAGATGCTTGTATGTGGAGTGGGAAGCAGAAGACACTAAAATGATAATTTTTATAACCCACTTTCACTTATTACACATATGCAAATGTCTGATAATTTTTCCTCAGTTTATTCTCCTAAACATCTCTAGAGTTCAATCCATGAGTTTTTGGTCTCTTACCACTATTGTATTTTTAGAGTATATATTTTAAAATCTTATTTAGCTTAAAACAGTGTCCTCTAAATTTTCTTCCTATCTCTAAACTTCTAAAATGACATCCCCAGTATATTTGACAGATATCTCTATAAAATCTAATCTCATAGATGCTTAAATTTAAAAAAAAGGAAACCTTTTATGAGACCAGAAAAATCATGTTAGGTGTGAGATACTTGAAGTTTTTATCTCACTTATAATTTTAAACTAATTTTTAGATCTGTAGACCACCAGATTAAGTCCAAGCACATTTCAGTGCACATAAACATTTTGGAGCCTGACTGTTTTCACTACTAAAACTAATAAAACTGTGACAGTACAATGTACCTACTCCTCCATATTAGGCAAAAAAGAGAAACACCCAAAAGAAAAATAATCACATCTTTCATTAATTAAAAGCTCTTAACACTTGGTCATAAATTAAAACATATTTGGGGGATTCTTTGAAATTCCAAACTGTCAGAAGGAATTTATTATGTTCAAAATTTGTTCTACTAAAATCCTAGTCTTCTCCTAATCCTAGGCAGGTTGCTGAAGAATAAATATAAATTGTTTAACCCAGTAATCAAGGGAAATGACATCATCCTAATAATGAAAACCCAATCATTTTATATGCTGTTTGATACTAAAGCTCTTTAAGATTTTTTATGAATTAGTCTATTAAACCTTTAATTGCAAATAAACAAAAATGTTAATCATATCAAACAAAAATGTTAACAAATGTTTCAATATTCCTTGCCTTTGTTGTATATTTCTCAGTTTACCACCGGCACTTTTTTGAATGAACACATTTGCTCTCTGATTAAAATACACTTACTCATTCTAATTTTCATTCTGGAGCTACTGCTTTCAGTTTAATCTTTCTTAGATGAAACACATCCTTTACTAGTTAAGTTACTTGGAAATATTTTAGTTTCAAAAGAATAAGCACAAAAGCCTTTGATAAAATTAATTCATTTGATCAATTCTCCACAATATCAGACTATTTGACTTATAAGTACCTACCTATCTTTAAACCAAATCAGTGAGTTTCTTTTTTAGGCTTTGTTATAACAATGAAAGTAAATAATTCATATATTTCCTATATAATTTTCAAGTAGGCTTATTTATATAAAATAAATACTTTCCTACAGTAAGTATTTAAAATGTCTAGAATCTAAACTAGGAGCAAGAATTTGTTTTACTTGGAAGGGGAAAATTACTGAAAAATTTAGATTGCCCTGTAATAAACATGAGCAACTCCATACAAAACCAGAAGTTTAAACACACCAACCTGTCAGAACAAAGCAAAGCAGAAAAATCACATCCACCTTAAAACTCAAGCTTATAAAACACCATATAACATAAATATGTAAAGAATTCAGTTACTGAAAGTGGATACATCTAGAGTCATGAAAATTTCTATTCATTGTTTTCATGGGCCCTTGTACAAGGTAATTCTTAATGCAAAATTGTATTCAAATAGCCAGACCCATTTTCTGGCCACTTTTCCCCATCAGTCCACTAATAGCTTGATTTGGTTTCATTGCACTTTAAGTTTTCCTTTCATTATGGGGTTCCCTGGAAAGTAACGCTGATTTCCCAGAATGAGCCCTAAAGGGCTTTCTCTGGATCTTGCTGGTCAAATTTCCCATCTTACACCATATATAAAACTGTTGGCTGGTTGGCTATACTTTTTTTCCCCTTGCCCACTGTAGGTTTCTTTTCCTCTAACCATGGTAAGCCATTTTTCTGAGGGCTTCATGCATGTTCTAATAGGCTGCTGACTATTCTGTTTTGTCTACAAGGTCAAAATTAGCCACAGTTTTCTCAATGGCCTGGGTTACTACTTTTAGACTCTGTGGCTATACAGACCAGATAAAACTTGGGCGATGACCCCGGGAGTATAGAAGGAGATATTCAATGACAGAATGGCTTTTCTAGCTAGAATGTCGAATATTAGAAAAGCCTCCATGAGCATCAAAATAAAAACAAACCAAATCAGAAACACCTTGAACTTGAAAAGACAATTCCCTGGTATCCACAAACCATTCTTCTCCAGGTTGCTTCAACAGATTTAACCTAGGCTCCTCAAGAGTCATGCTGCCCATGCTTGGACCAAACTGGGCTTCCTTGAAAGAATTAAAAAAACAAACAAACAACAACAACAAAAAACTGTTCTAAGAAGGGCGTCCAACACCCAACTAGCTCTTACAGGGAATTTACACTCCCTTAGCTGTTGTTTGTCCTTACTTAGTCAGTGTCTCGCTCCTCTCTGACTAAAATGTGTACCTTGGGGTCCTGCAACATCTCTACTCTGGTGAGAGGCAAGGGGCCAGTGGCATCATGAACCTAAGGAGGGGTACGTACACCACATCTGTCTCTGTTTTCCCCAACCCGGACAGAACACCACCTGGAGTATGGAACCAGACCAGACTCTCATGTTGGATGCTAAGCTGACAGATTTATTTAAATATTGTAAGATATTTATTTGAAAGAGTAGATTAACTAAACATGAACAAAGGCAAAAGCTTTATTCTTTGTTTTCATCAAGATTTTCCTTTCTTATTTCTTGAAAGAAATCAAAATCTTTTTTAGTACATTCTTGAAAGCTTGTTTAACTTGCTGGTTCTTCAAACTGTAAATAAAGGGATTTAACAAAGGGGCAACTGAGGTGTAGATAACAGCTACCCCTTTCGATAAGGCCACCCTTTCTCTTGCTGATGGCTTCATGTAAATGAAAATGCAGCTGCCATAAGTAAGGGCAACCACAATCATGTGAGAAGAACAAGTGGAAAATGCTTTCGTTCTTTTCTGAGCAGAGGGAATTTTTAGAATGGTTTTGATTATATATGTATAGGAAAGGCCCACTAACAGCAATGTCACCACAAGCGTTATAACTGCTGAAACAAAAGAGATTAACTCCAGGTAGTGAGTGTCAGTGCAAGAAATCTGCAGGACAGGAGAAGTGTCGCACATGAAATGGTCAATTACTTTGGAAGCACAAAATTCCAGGTTCAATCCCATGACCAGTGGTGGGAAGGTAATCAGAAAACCAGCTGCCCATGAACTGAGTACCAGATAATAACATACTCTGCTGCTCATAATAGTGGGGTAATGTAAGGGTTTGCAGATGGCCACATACCGATCATAGGACATGGCAGCCAGAAGGTAAAATTCAGTGACTCCTAATAAAAGGAAAAAGAATAATTGAGCTGCACAACTATTGTAGGAAATTATTTTGTTTTTAGTCACAATGGTTGTCAGGAATCTAGGAATACAGGCTGTTGTCAATGACATTTCCAAGAAGGAGAAATTTCGGAGGAAGAAATACATTGGAGTCTTGAGGCAGGGATCCAGCAGAGTAAGGAGAATGATAATTAAATTTCCCATCAGGCTCAAAATGTAGTTGAAAAAGAGAAACAAGAAAATCAAAGTTTGCAACAGTGGATCATCAGTCAGTCCAAGAAGAATGAACTCAATTTCCCCTGATTGGTTCTTCATTTTTCTTCATCCTACCAAATCTAGAAACAATAAAAGGAGATGGCTCAAGTAAGAGGTTCATTTAAAATCTCATTCATACAAAACCATATTAAGAAAGTATCTCTATGCAAATATTTTGGCAAATCAACTTACTAGAGGTCATCAAAATAAACATGCCCTAATTATCAACTGTCTTTGTATGAATGCTGAAAGATACTTCCCTCGACAGAACTTGAATAAGTCTTACTTATTGTTCTACCAGGTTATCTTAGTTTAAGCATGAGGTTGGTTTTAGTAATTAGGAATAAGTAATATAATAACAAATTTTGTTAACCAAATACTAGCATAGAAGCGATCGTAATCTGTCAGTTATGACTTTAATTACATATTCTGGTATTCAATATTCTTTTAAATCTATATGCAAGATTTTTCTCTACAGATAAATAATAATAAAATGCTTGCCAAGTTGATTAGATACGTTGTATCAAGTAGATGTCATAGGAGGCTTTGAGGGACATGTTGAACATTCAACATAAGTCTATTAAATACCAAAATTAATTTACCGATCCCGTATTGCATTTTACATAAGTTAACTTAAAAATACCTACTTTATTCAATTGTGCATTGTCTCATAAGTTATTAATGTATACCTCTAGCATAAATAAAAATAGTCTCTTTCATTATTGTATATAAGAATCTTACTAGTTTTTCCCAAAATATTTTTATTCTTTATTCAATATAGAAAGCACATTTAATGTCATATAAAATTTTTGTTTTGAGCTTTGAGTGATAGCTATTGAAAAAAATTGTAGAGTTCTTTTTTTCAAATTGCTTATTCTCCAGCTTTTTATGTGTGGTGGTCCCTTATATTGTTGTTTGGCTCTGAAAAGGAGAGAAAGAATGAGACAAAAGAGAGATTGTTGATCAATTCAAAGTATTTGTTGTAGCACATCTCAAAATCAGAACCCATAGATAATAGCAATTTTTCTTCTATTCTTTGACTATTAAAACTATGCAAGATCATAGTATTTATCCAATATGTATATTTACACTGATTGTTCTTTCACCTCAATGTTGCTTTACACTTATTTTTTTTTTTTTAAAGACAACTCTGTATTCTTCAAAAAATCATTGCTAACCTCATGTGGCTAGATTACAAATTTAGACACTGATGTCTTAAAAGTTTGCAGACTAGATGTTATTTTCTCTTCAAAATGTTCTGTACGATAACAGTCAGTTACAGTAAAAAGAAAAGATGTAATGCTGCACTTATATCAATCTGCATAATTAGTAGCTTTGAACACTGCATCTACAAAAAGATGGAACATTTATGATGATTAGAATGTCAGTGGTGATTTAATTTTAAACTCAGGATTATCTTCATCTATGATCTAAGTATTTATTACAAATTACCAGTGGCTTCCCATATGCTAACTCTAACTTACTGCCATTGAATCACCAATGCCGACTCATAGCAATAGTTTTCCAGGGTAAAACTGCTCCTTTGAGCTTCTGAGACAACTGTGTATGGGAATAGGAAGCCCACCCCTCTCCCAGCGAGTAAGTGGTATTTTCAAACTGTGGACCTTAAAGATCGCAACCCTAAGCATAACTGCTATACCACCAGGGCTGATGTTTCTATATGCTGGATATATATTACTATCATTTCTCCTTTCCAAGGATTTAAGTTGTATTAAGTGCCATCAAGTCAGTTTGGACTCATGCTAATCATTTGTACAACTGAACAGAACACTATGTGGTCTTGTACAATCCTCAAAATTGTTAAGTTTCAGTCCATTGTTGCAACCACTTGGTCATTCTATCCCATCAAAATTCTTCCTGTTTTATGTTTCCCCTTGACAAGAACATATCATGCAAACAAAAGTCAGGCAATGAACTATGAATATTATCATTTTTCTATTATTAGAAAAGCTCATTATGTGAATGAGAATTATAATTCCAATGCTTTTCTTGTGAAGGATTTAGTGCAGAGAAACAGTTTGGAAAGTATATGCATCAGAAAATAGTTCCCAATTTCTCATATACTACAAAAATCCCAGCACCCAGAAATTACCAATAATCTGATTAGAAAAATATTCCTTATTGCCAGATATATATTTTTCTGCTTTATTTTTGTAAGTAAACTTACATGACAAAGATGCTCTAAGAGAAGGGTACTTTAGGAAGGCTCACAGACTAAAGGTATTCACTTTTTTTAACAAACAATGACTATATTTACACTTGAGCATTAACAAAAGCTACAGTTTATCAGTTCACTGTAAGAGACTCAAGGGGATTCATTGAAATATCTGGAAGAAAGAAAAAGAAATCTCATGTGGAATCTGGTGTTTTGGACCTACCAATTACACGTAAAAAAAATTTTTTTTAACCATAAATTGCCAACAATTCAAATTTAGGGAACATTCTCCCAAAAGATGACTAAATGACTTAAACTCTACTTGAGTTTAGGATGTCACGATTCTGAACGTTCACTTCCCCGAGACATATCAGCAGCTCTACTGGTCCAGGCTATATCTTAAACAGAAAACTTTCTCTTGCTTCCTTTGACAATATAGCAAAATTCCCTAGACTTGATTATTACCTACCCCAATACATAAGAAAAGCACATCAATTGTTCCTATGTATTATTTTTCTATTTTGAAAAAAAATTTTAAAGTTTCAAATACAGCACAATAATCATTCCTACAACCAAATCAATGTATGCCCTATTTCCTGATCAATACTTTAGTATGCACTCATTGACTAAAAAGGAACATTATATGATTTAATAACATATAATAACATGAAATTACTAATAAATATTAGACTAGTAGGACACTAACACTGATATATTAATAACACCCAATAGGCAAATTTAATTGAATTTTACATGTTTATAGAAAAAACATGTAAACATAGTTCAGAGCTATATTTTCATTGAACTGCCATGATTTTTTGTTGTTATTGCTGTGCTCATTTTTCTTTGGAATGAGCACAAATAGGAACAGCTTCCTGTCAGTTAGCCAGACTATTGATTGCTTCCAGCATCCCATCTGTTTGTTAAAATATGTCAATTAGTATTCCATCAATTCCGGGAGCCTTGTTTTTCACCAATTTTTTAAGTGTAGTTTGAACTTCTGCCTTCAATAATACGGGGATGTGAGCACATTTCTCATGAAATCTTCATTCCACGTATAGTAAAACATATGGTTCTCTGATTCAAAATGGCCAATACTAGTTGATTTCAACTTATTAATGCTAGCACATCAATTTTCATTTGGGTCATTTAATTCCTGATGATGTTCAGTTCACCTTGGTTCATACTTTATTCCAAATTCCAGTTATTGTGGATATTTGAAGTTATTTCTTTTCATTTTGACTTGTGCCACATCAGCAAATAAAGTCTTGACATCGTTGCTCCATAACTAAGGTTAACTCTACTTTGGGGGTGCAATTCTTAACCAGTGATGTCTTGAATGACTTCCAACCTAAGGAAATAATATCAGGCTGAAAGATAATGTTCCACTACTATTAATAAGAATTTCAGTGGCTAGTTTTTTTAGGCGTGAACCACCTCTTCTTCCTTCCTGGTCTTTGTAAGTTCTCATGTTCACCATGGGTGACATGATTAGTACTTATAATATTGGTGTCATATCTTACAGCATCCCAGCGCCATTTTACTCACTACAATAAATTGACAGTAAAGTGTCCTATTAAATAGAGGAATTTCTCAATCTTTCCAAAACTTGTATGATTTTTGGAAATGTCATTACAATAATTTTATGTAATGTCCCTGGAGATGTGTTTTTCTGAGTTTTCAGCCTCAATGACATCCCTTTATTTTGTCACCAGTATAAACTTTTTTCAATTTATTCATTAATTAATTTATGTACGATTCCTGATGCTATTTATAGTTAATAAATAAACATTTCAATAATCTATGTAGCATACATATTTATTCATCTCTATTTTTAACTTTCCACCATCTAGCTGACAGTCTTACAATGGTGGCTTGTGTGTTGCTGTGATGCTGGATGCTATGTCAGTAGTATTTAAAATACTAAGAGGGTCACCCAAAAGGGGAGAGGTGTCAGCAGAGCTTCCAGACTGAAAACAGATTATGAAGAAGGAATAGGCTATCTACTTCAATAGAATTAGCCACTGAAAACCTTCCTGGTGGATAGAATCAAAACATTTTCAGATACTATAAATTTCACAAACAGCAGATGGACTTTGTGAGAGATAGTGCCAGAAGATGAGACCCTAGGTTGGAATACTCACAAAATATCATTAAAGAAGAACTGCCTTCTCAAAGTAGGGTCCACCATAATGACATGGATGGAATAAAACCTGTGGGAGGAAAGCCTTTGGGACCTTCATTCCCTGATGGGGCATGACTCAAACCGAGAAGAAACAGCTGCAAACATCAGTTAATCATCAGAACTTGGAATGATCCAATCACTCCACATTCTCTCCAGCATTTTGTTATTTTTTGTTATGTCTTTGTTTGTTTGTTTTCATTTTCCCATCAATACCTGGGTAAGGCAATATCTCATTGTACTTCTTATTTGCTTTTCTCTTATAGCTAATGATAAGGAGTATTTCTTCAAATGATTGTTGGCTGTCTGATGTCACCTTAAGTTGATAAATTAGCTAGTCATGTCTTCTGTCCACTTTTAATTGGGCTATTTTGTGTTTTCCTTGTTAGGGTGTTGCAGTTATATAGATTTTAGAGATTGTCCCTTTATTCGATATTCATTGCCAATTTTCCCCAACTGTGACTTTCTTTTTACTTTTTTAATGAAGTATTTTGACATACATAAATATCATATTTTCAGATCCCATCTACTTTGTCTTTTTTCATTGTATTTAGTGGTATGTCTATACCTTCTTTTCACTCACTCACTCACTCACTCACTCACTCACTCACTCCCTCACTCACTGCCATAGAGTCACTGCTGACTCATCACCATCTCCTGTGGTTGATAAGACTGCAATTGTGTACAGGAGTAGAATGCCCAGTCTTTCTCCCT